AAWKSCMMMWTTTTTTTTATCCATTCGTCTATTRAAGGGCATCTAGGTTGGTTCCACAGTCTTGCTATTGTGAATTGTGCTGCTATGAACATCGATGTAGCAGTTTCCCTATAGTACGCTCTTTTAAGGTCTTCAAGGAATAGTCCGAGAAGGGCAATAGCTGGGTCAAATGGTGGTTCCATTCCCAGCTTTCCCAGGAATCTCCATACTGCTTTCTACATTGGCCGCACCAATTTGCAGTCCCACCAGCAATGTACAAGTGTACCCTTTTCCCCACATCCTCGCCAGCACTTGTTGTTGTTTGACTTCATAATGGCTGCCAATCTTACTGGAGTGAGATGGTATCTTAGGGTGGTTTTGATTTGCATTTCTCTGACTGCTAGAGATGGTGAGCATTTTTTCATGTACTTGTTGATTGATTGTGTGTCCTCCTCTGAGAAGTGTCTGTTCAGGTCCTTGGCCCATTTGTTGATTGGGTTATTTGTTTTCTTATTGTTTAATTTTTTGAGTTCTTTGTATACTCTGGATATTAGGGCTGCATCTGAAGTGTGAGGAGTAAAGATTTGTTCCCAGGATGTAGGCTCCCTATTTACCTCTCTTAGTGTTTCTCTTGCTGAGAAAAAACTTTTTAGTTTGAGTAAGTCCCATTTGTTGRTTCTTGTTTTTAACTCTTGTRCTATGGGTGTCCTATTAAGGAATTTGGAGCCCGACCCCACAATATGTAGATCGGAGCCAACTTTTTCTTCTATCAGACGCADAGTCTCTGATTTGATATCAAGCTCCTTGATCCATTTTGAGTTAACTTTTGTGCATGGCGAGAGAAAGGGATTCAGTTTCATTTTGTTGCATATGGATTTCCAGTTTTCCTAGCACCATTTGTTGAAGATGCTATCCTTCTTCCATTGCATGCTTTTAGCCCCTTTATCAAATATAAGATAGTTGTAACTTTGTGGATTAGTCTCTGTGTCCTCTATTCTTACCTTTGGTCCACCCGCCTGTTTTGGTACCAGTACCATGCTGTTTTTGTTACTATTGCTCTGTAGTACAGTTTGAAATCTGGTATTGCTATACCTCCTGATTCACACTTCCTGCTTAGAATTGCTTTTGCTATTCTGGGTCTTTTATTTTTCCATATGAAATTCATGATTGCTTTATCTATTCCTACAAGAAATGCCGTTGGGATTTTGATTGGCATTGCATTGAACCTATAGAGAACTTTGGGTAATATCGCCATTTTGATGATGTTAGTTCTGCCTATCCATGAACAGGGTATATTTTTCCATCTTCTAAGATCTTCTTCTACTTCTCTCTTTAGGGTTCTGTAGTTTTCATTGTATAAATCTTTCACCTCTTTTTCACCTCTTCTGTTTTCTAACATTTGGCATATATTTTAGAGGTCTTTCTATATCAGGATATTGAGAGTACCTCTCTTCCCTTCAGTTTCATGGTGTTCCATTGTTTAAATATTCCATAATTTTATTTTATTAATCCCTTATTAGTGGACATTTAGTTATTTCTAACTCTTTTTACTAATGGTATAATAAATAATCCTGTACATATATCATTTGTGCATATACAATTTGTGATACAAATTCTTGAAAATATTGGAAGTAAAATGGCCAAGTGACTTGGAACTTTGATAACTATAACCAAATTGTCCTCCAAGTGACTTTACAGTTTATTAACTTGCAGCTTTACTTAAATAGATATCAGATCATCAGTCTCAACACTGCTTGTGTTTAAGTAACCCTTATTATTATACTTGATAATGATCTCAAAGCACAAGAGCTGTGATGTTGGCACTTGAGATACACCAAGAGCAGCCATAAGATGATTTCTTTAAGCGAAAAGGTGAAAGTACAATAAAATATTTTGAGAGCAACAATACTGACAAAGCTTTCATTATATTATATCATAACAATTATTCTGTTTTATTATTGTTGTTGTCAGTCTCTTATTATGCCCAATTTATAAATTCAGCTGTATCACAGGTATGTATGAATGATCAACTGCAAATGAACATTTCTTGTCATTATTCTTTAAACAATATAGCATTAACGACTATTTTCATAGTGTTTAGTTTATATTAGGTATTTTAAAATAATCTAAAGGTAATTTGTGAAGTAAAAGGGAGAGTGGGCATAGGTTATACAAGTGTTAACACTCTTACATAAGGAACTTGAACATCCATGGATTGTGGTGTCCCCAGGGGCCCTAGAACCAGCCCCTGCTGATTATGACAAGCAACTGTATGGTTCAGTGCTATCTAGGGTTTTAGATATGTGAGTTTAGAGTTTTTTAGATTGTGTAATGTCTACAGAGATTTTATCAGCTGAGTGTCCTAATGTAAGGATTTCAAAGAATTTTGAATTAAGGACTCTCAACCTGTATTTTCTTTTCTTTTTTTCTTTTTTTGGTGCTAGGGATTGAACCCAAGGCCTAATGCATGCGAGGCAAGCACTCTACCAACTGAGCTATATCCCCAGTCCTATATTTTCTTTTTTGAGAACTCTGCCTATTTTTCCTGTTGGATTCTTGTCAGTAGTATCTCTTAAGGTTTATGTCTCAGATCTTCTTCATTAAATAAATACTAGCCATTGGCGATAGTCTTTACCTTCCTGGAGCTTACAGTGATACAAATAAACACAAAGAAACATGAATAAAAATTGCAAGTAGCATCCTGGTCTGGTGGTGTGGGCCTGTAATCCCAGCTACTGGAGAGACTAAGGCAGGAGGATTGCAAGTTTGAGGGCAGCTCAGATAACTAAGCAAGTTCCTGTCAAAAAATAAAAAGGGCTGGGGAGATACTCAGTGGTAGAACATGCCCAGGTTCAGTCCCTAGTATAGGTGTGTGTTGGTGGGGGGGTGGGGGTTGTAAGTAACATTAACTGTTAAAAAAAAATTGGGACTGGCAGTGTAGCTCAGAGGTATCACACTTGCCTTTCCTGGCATGTTTGAGGCACTTGGTTTGAAAAAGTAAGTAGTAAAGGCTAATGTGATAGATAATGACTTAATTTGTTGGATGAGATGAGTTACTTACAGCAGGCCAAAAGTCTAATGATAGACTCTCGACCCCCACCTCCACAGTATGGTAGGTTAAAAATTGGGTGGCTTTTTGCAGGGAGGGGTGGTCCTTATTGAGCTACCAAGGCTGGTCTCAAACATGCAGTCTTCCTGCCTCACCCTTCAGAGTACCTGGAATTACAGTCATGTCCCACTGCACCTTGCTGGGTTTTTTTGTTTGTTTGTTTGTTTGTTTTTTCTTATATAACAGTGCAGAGTGTATGTATTGAGTTAGTGGCATGGCTGTCTTCTGCATCCTTATCTTCTGTCTTCTGTGGCTCCATCTTTCCCAAGGTGGAGGGAGACTTTACTCAGAGCCTAGTTGCCCACTATGGAGTATCCAGCAGGCAGAAGGACTTGGGAGGAATTCTGTATGCCAGGCTAGCAGTGACATTGACTCTCTCATTCCATTGATATTTTAGTCACATGGCCACGCCTAAATATAGGGTAGGCTAGAAAGTATAGTGCAGCCATATGCTCAGGAATGAGAAGCACTTTTTGTGGATAACCAGAAGCCTGTGCCACACAGGATGGGGGCAACATTGGCCAGAGTGGTTAGATAAGACTCTGGAGCTGAAATGATAAGAGGCATCCATGCAGAGATTAGAAACAGGAACATTCTCCGCTGAAGGAAACCGTAAACATGTCATGAGGCATTTGAAAGATCTTGGGTTGAGGAGGGATGGAAAGAAGATCCTATGTGGTTAGAATCCATGGGGCTAGAGAAGGAGGTTGGAGAAAGGCCATTGGACAGATGATAAAGACATAGTAGGTATTTTGCACTATTTTGTTTTTCTCAGTGTGTGAAGAAGTCATTAGAGGATTCCAAATAGCAAATTCCAAATAAATTTGTGTTCATAAAAGGTATTCCTGCCACTCTTTGCAGGAGGAGCGGATGGAAGCTGGAAATTCACTTTGGAGGCCATTATATTAGGCAAGAGGTTCTAGTGGCCTGATCTAAGTGGTATTGGTGGAATTAGGGAGAAAAGGCTAGGTCTGGGATCCATTTTGAAATGTAAACTTATTAGTCTATGATAGAAAACACAAGTTTGATTCATTGATTTAAAATAATGTCGGTATCCGTTTTCATGTACGTAACATAATTTCGKTCTTCTATTTCTTCTATTCTAAACTCTTATTGTGTGTGTACACACCATATTTTCTTTATCCACTCATTCTTTGACAGTCACCTAAACTGGTTTTATAGTTTGGCTCATTGTGAATTGTGTTGCTATAAACATGGGTGTGCATTCATCACAATAGTATGCTGACTTCATTTCATTGCAAAGGAGTGGCATAGCCGGGTCATATAATGGTTCTATGCCTAGTGTTTTGAGAAACCACTATACTGATTTCCATAGAGATTGCCTTAATTTACCGTCCCAAAATGGTATAAAGGTGTTCCTTTTTCTCCACATCCTCCCCAGCATTTATTATTGTTTGATTCTTAGTTGCCATTCTAACTAAAGTTGCTAAAGATGTTGAACAYTTTTTCATGAATTTTTTGGCCATTTGCATTTCTTTTGAGAGGTGTCTTGTTTAGTTCATTTGCCCATTTATTAACTATGTTTTTCTAAAATTTTTATTAAGAATATGTTAAAAAGTTGAAATAATAATCATCGGTCAGAGGAGTAGCTTGCAAAAATTTTCTGCCACTCTGTAGATTCTCTCATGACATTCTTAATTGTTTTCTTTGTAGACTCAGCAGTTATGACTGGTGGGTTGGATGGAGATATTGTTGAGCAGCTAGAATGATAGTAACCCTTTCACTTTAACAACAAAGAAAAGAGAAGGGAAATTAGGGGGAAAATAAAGAATTTCTCTTAGACTCCTCAAAAATACTTATGTATTTGGTTCTTACAGAAAAAGTTTAGCACAGACAATGCTCCTAAGGAAAGACAGTGGCTAGTGAAATATATCAGCCTTTTGTACTAAAATAACTTCCTAAAAAATTGCCACTTTCATAGTAAATTCTCTTTTCACTCTGGAACATAATTAGAATTTTGTATTTCAGAACTTACATGCTCAAAGTTTGAAAGACTCTCCCTAATTGAAGCTATGGCATGAGAACATTTACATCATCAAAGATAAGTGTGAAAACAGAATTCTGAATAATTCTTTCAAAATGTGTTTTTTTATAGGTGCGTCAGCAATTTCCAGCTCCTCTTGGCTGGTCAGGCACTGAAGCTCCTACACAAGTCACTGTTGAAACCCATCCTGTTCAAGAAACAACCTTTCATGTAGCCCCTCAGCAGAATGCATTGCATCATCACCATGGAAACAGTTCCCATCACCACCACCACCACCACCACCACCACCACCACCATGGACAGCAAGCCTTGGGTAACCGGACCAGGCCAAGGGTCTACAATTCTCCAACAAATAGCTCCTCTACCCAGGATTCTATGGAGGTTGGCCACAGTCACCACTCTATGACATCCCTGTCTTCCTCAACAACTTCTTCCTCGACATCTTCCTCCTCTACTGGTAATCAAGGCAATCAGGCCTACCAGAACCGCCCAGTGGCTGCTAACACCTTGGACTTTGGACAGAATGGAGCTATGGACGTAAATTTGACCGTCTACTCCAATCCCCGCCAAGAGACTGGCATAGCTGGACATCCAACATACCAATTTTCTGCTAATACAGGTCCTGCACATTACATGACTGAAGGACATCTGACGATGAGGCAAGGGGCTGACAGAGAAGAGTCCCCCATGACAGGAGTGTGTGTGCAACAGAGTCCTGTAGCTAGCTCGTGACTACATTGAAACTTGAGTTTGTTTCTTGTGTGTTTTTATAGAAGTGGTGTTTTTTTCCAAAAACAAAGTGCAAAGCTGCTTGAATCAGAAGGAGATTAACACACTGAACCGCTACAAGAGGGCAAAGCTGACTTTTTTTTTTTTTAAACTTGAAAAGATTGCAAAGGGACAATGAAGTTTTTAAGAGCCATGTCCAAATCCATCTTCACGGATAGCTCAGAGGTATCCTCTTTTTGCCTCCCCCATTTAACTTGCCACCTCCTAGTCATAGTGGGGTTTTTTTTGTCTTTCTATTCAACAAAAAAGTTAATGTTCAGATGTTGGTCTTGGTCGTTTGCCAACTAATTTTGAAATAAAAAGGCACTGCACATAATTTGCATAGGGCCCCATTAGGGTGTTTTTGTTTTTTCCTCCTCCCCCCCTTTTCCTTTTTCTTTTTTTGTTTTTGTTTTTATTTGGGTGGGGGTGGGGTGTGGATTTGGGTTTTTAAGTCCTCTAAACACACTTGGGCACCGAAATGCAGTACTGTAAGGAAGAGGGACCTCCAGCTTACACAAACATCATCTTCAGCTGTATGAAAGGGACGATTGTGTTGAAGTTTGTAAGGCACATTAAGCATGCTAAGTGGCGGGGATCAGAACTCTCCTATCTGAACCTACTGAGGAGCAAAGCAGCAATTACGTGGGATCCTGTGGGCCTCCTGTTGTGGAGGCCACAGGAAGATGGGAGTGGAACGTGACTGGTCTCCTAACCAAGGTGCACTGAGAAGCAATCAACGGGTCAGTCGTGGCCAGTCCTGGGGAGGTCTGAGTGGTGGTCTTTGGGATAACCTTTGGCCTTATGGATTTGGACTCGAAATCAGAAGAGCCTACCATTTCAGATGCAATCACTTGTGGACATGCTTTTGCAGACAGTCCTTAATGCTGAAAACACAGAGAATGGGTAATTCAAGAGGCCTTTCTTTTAAAATAGACTTTTGTGACCCACTAATTGTAAGGTATTGCAAGGTCACTTTGCGTGTGTCATAAAGTTGACTTCCTTATTGGTTGAAGGTCACAGAAGTAGTGGTTTGCTTTGATGGAAATAGCTACAGCTGTGTCCCTTCCTGCTTTTTACTTTTTCTTTTGCTTTTTCTCGGCACGTGGTATCTCCACCATTTCTTCTGCACAAAGATGTCTTCTGTTCATCCTGAACATTTTTAAAAAATGCAGAATTTTATGTGACTGCTTTTTTGCCTCACAATTATGCTGTGAATTTTACAAAAATTTATTTTCTTTTTTGATAATTTATTGTACCAAAGCTGTTTTTATAGCACATAGATGTCTGTAACCAATAATGTAGCAGTTCTGCACTTTGACACAAGGTGTAACTAGACCATTTTTAAATGTCAGTTGAAAATTATGGCTGTACTATTGCTTAAACAAAACTGGAACTGTTGTTGAATCCATAGCCAATACATTTACAGCAATCTGTGTACTGAACATAATAGATTGACATCTAATTCAAGATTACAACATCTGTCACATTCTAAATGTGTTCAGGCTTCTGAAGGTAAAGGGACACTGGATCCAGAAGCTATGGAGCCAGCAGTTGATTCTTGTATTCCTGATTAACCTACTTGTAAACTTGAACGAAAGACCTTGATTGCACCAACAGGTCCAAACTAGGAGCAGGAGTAAAGCAGAACTCTTGAGCATGACCTGAAGTGAACAGGCTGGTATTTTACAGGTGCCTCGTTTTGAGATTATGCTGCCTTAATGTAACACAGTCTGGCAGTTGCTAAATTTGTGTTCCCATTTTAAATTGACCAATTTTAGGGTGTAATACTTTTGAGTGGTTAAATTGGGAGAATGAAGATGTAGTAATTTACCTGTCCAGGATCAAAAGAAGCCTAGAAAAGAAGCAGTAATCTACCTCTGCCGATAACCCTGTTCGAAACAACTCAGCAGAACACCACGTTACTTTTTATTGGTCAACTCCATGTGGCTGACTAGGTCAATTTTTTCTGAACAAAACAGGTTTTTATATGTAAACAGTGACAAAAGAAAGGCTTAAAACTATGTAAATGTGAATGGAAACTTGGAAATATCCGTTTTTATAAACCACAAAAAATTTTTGTTGTTAATCAGGAAATCCATATTTATTTTGTAATTAAATGTCAAGCCTGTGGATGATTTTTTTTTTTTTTGAACTTGGTAGTTCATAAAGGTTTACAGTGAATAAAAGGATATCACCTTGAGTATAGCAATATCAAACAGAATCCAGTAGTTACTGCTGTTTAGGAATGTGGAACGTGAGGTTAAAACACTATATGGGTCAGGTCATTTTTTTTTTTTCTGTGCTGGTTGCCACATCTTAGCAAGCACCAAAACAAACAAACAAACAAACAAAAAAAAACAACAAAAGACAAACCACAAAACCCCCTAAAACAGTTTTTAAACCAATATTTACATAAAATAAGTCATAAAATCCAATGCTTCTGCATACTGTGTTATGTTACAGTCCAGTTTTGTGTGCTTTACTACACAGTTTGGTTACAGGACTTCTGTGCATTGTAAACATAAACAGCATGGAAAAGGTTAAATACCTGTGTTCAGATTGTAAGATCTAGTCCGGACTTGCTGTGTATATTGTAACGTTAAATGAAAAAGAACCCCCCTTTGTATTATAGTCATGCGGTCTTATGTATGATAAACAGTTGAATAATTTGTCCTCAGACTCTTTACTATGCTTTTTTAAAATTAATTTAAGAAAAAATGTAAAGATAGTAAAAATGTTCCTATGCAATTAACCTGATCCAGGTCTGGTAGGTATACTGAGTTATAAACTTAGTCAAATGTGTAAAAAGGAAAATATTTGAGTTACATCAACATAGGCTTTAAATATCTCAAAGTAAAAATTGGAGGTTTAACAGATCACTTGATTTTTAAAATTTTTTATCTGAATGATTATTTATATTCACACAATTTCTCTGGTTCCAACTGCTGATACTATAGTTTGTAGTGTTTCAAGTGGATGTTAACGATTAGGTGGTTTTCTGCAATTGATGGTTTTTTCTAATAGATGAAGGAGAGAATATAGGTATTGTTATTATTCCTCCTCCTCCTCCTTCAGGTCCTCATATGGGAACATAAGGGACTTTTTCTTACACAAATTCTAGAATTCCTTCCACAGTGAGTCAGTTTCTAACCTAAAGTCTTCTCTTTTTATGTTAACCTGCATAAGCATTTATTAAGGTGGCCTTCAGAAGGTAAGAAACTTGTTTTAAAGTTAAATATGATTTTGTAACATTCAGGTTGGGAATGTAAAGTTGAACTCACAACATGAAAAAATGGAAAATCCCTTCCATTTTTGTCTTAGGGTATTAGAAATTTACTTAGATGAATGGCACAGGACTCAGAAAAACGAGGACTTATTTTTATTTAATGAATTTACAAATACATACAAAAGATCATTTAAGTCTGCAGTAATTATAAAACCCCCCAAAATGACATTTGTGCCTTTGCCTCTCTCTCTCTCCCAGTTGGTAGGGAAGTACATTCGTAAATCCCACAAGAAGCTGAGGTTGCAAACATTCCAGGTCAGTCCCCCAATTTCCAAATAGGTTTGCTTTTATTTTGTTGGTCCCCAGAAGATAGGTTTGGTATATCATTTTCATTCTATTTTTGTCATAGACCATGTGTAATAGGTCAAATGGTTTGTTCCAAATATATGACTTGGCTTTAATGTCATGTCAGAAAAAAGTATGAAAATTTAAAGGGGCAGGGGCTGTGCACAGCTGTGGTATATTGAGACTGTGTTCAGATTTCTTAAGATCTACTTGCCACACTTGGGCAAACTTGATGAGCCTCTGAGGGAGTCTGAAAGGAGAGAGTAGAAGTTCCCTTTCTCCTGACCATGACTTCTTCCTTACTAGTTGTTTCCTAGAATGGTAATATATATCAAGGGATCTTTTGAACAGAGAGTAAGAGTGGTGGAAACCATAACAGCTTGTCCTGTCAGAGGCACGCTTTTTTAGTGCCTTGCAGTATTCCGTAAACGCATTCACAAAGAATCATCCAGTGAGAGCCAACTGGGCCTTCACCCTGAACTCGGTCTTTCCTATAGCCCTGTATTTAAGTCAGGAGAGACTTGTTTTGTGGGAAACTTGCTCAGTGATCAGTGTTTGATCGCTTCTGTCTTTCTCCTTGTTACTGCCAAGGTCCTGGGTTTCATGCTCTCAGTGAAAACTGGTAAAGAACTAGGTTTTCTTCTATCGTGAGTTTTTTCTAAAACAACATTTACCCGAACACTGAAAAGCACAGACATTTTTCACCTATTTAAAAAAAAAATTAACCTCAAATCTTCAGAAACAAAGAATTTCTCCAACTGAACACTGATGTAAACATGGTAACTAGGTACCTAAAACCCCTCGCATCTCTCTTCAACATGTGGCTTCTTCACGTGGGTGCCTTTTCCCCTCATGCATCGCGCTAGCCCTTCAGCATATAGCCCTCTGTAGGCATTACTGGGTGGGGTTTAATGTGGGTGTGTTGGTTCAACTTYGCAGGAATCCCCTGCCATGCCCAGCAAAACTCCACCTTAGAACAGCGAGAAGGGGCAAGCTCTTCTCCTAACCACTGCCCTTTCCTTGGCCAGGCAGTGGTGTCTGTCTCCTGTGGGTTCTGAAGGAGCAGAGTACTAGGGTAGGGGTTGTGATGGCTAACCCAGTGCACCTTCATGTTTGGGCTGGGAACAAGGTGGCACAGATTGATGGAGAAAATAAGGCAGAAAAGTGGAACCCAGCTCTGTTCATAGGAGATGAGGCCTGTAGGTGCTGATCAGTGGACCTGGCCCACCATCCTCTCATAGCTAGAAAAGTCCTCGAGGGTTTTTCAGCTTGCAATGTGTAGCGAGGCTGTGTAGGTATTATGCTTTGTTTGAAAGGCCATAGTTTGATTTTCTTTTCAATTAAATTTTCCCAAAACTGCTACTTTTGGGGGGTTTTTTTAATCCTAATTTTATTGTGAACTTTTGCTCTCCGCAGCTACTCATTATTCACTGTAATTGCCCCTATTTTTTTTTAAGCTGAAACCAGTTTAAAAACAAACAAACAAACAAACAAAMAAAACGGGGATGGGTAGATTTGTACCCAAAGCAAAATATAGTTAGGCACTGGGTGTGGGTAGTGGTTTTTCTCTGGTCGTGGGCATCAAGCCAGCCTATCAGGTGTGGCTGGCAGGTGGCTTGTTAATGCCCTTGCAAGGGGAGAGGTCTGAGTCTGAACACTTCCCAAAGCAGAGGTGTTGAATTGGCTAGGGCATCCTGGAATGCAGCCTGGTGAGGGTCTTTCACTCAAGGTGGCAGAGAAACACTGCGTAGTGGAGTTCACTGGTTCCAAAACTAAAGGGGTTCCTTCTGGTGATGTGAGGTAGTGCAAGGAGAAGCCTCAGTCTGCTGAAGACATGGTGTGATGTAGTTCAAGAGTGAACCCCAAGTTTTTCAGGTGATTCTGAACCTGCAGCCAGGCAGGACTCGGGGCAAGAAGAAGGCATGGGTCGATCTGACACTGAGACCCTAAATTTGAGAACACCTTACATGAGATTTTATTATTGATGTGTGGGAGTTGTTGGGGATTGTGAACCCACCGGTTCTTGACTACTAGGATCCATTCCCAGCTCATATTTTGAGGTGGTCTCACTAAATTGCTGAGGCTGGCCTTGAACTTGGATCTTCCTGCCGCTGGGATTATAGCCACTGCGCCTGGTTGTAATTGAGGGTTACATGCACAAAGGATTAAACTAGTAAAACTCATATTGCATTACAAGGAGTTATAAATAAACCTCTAAGAAACGCAGAAATTGCCAGATGTAAGTATCCAAATGGTACACAATTCGTTGCTTCTGCCATCTTCCCCTATGGAAGTTTTTTGATGTCTCTCAAATGAAGAATGGTATGTGATAAATTTATTTCCCCAGCAGTGGGCTTCGGATTTGCTCCTCCATACCCCAGGCTTATGGTCTTTGGAAGATCGTGGAAAAGCTTCCTAGATCACCAACACTCCTCTATTAAGTGGCTGCAATCTCTAGCTCTGGAATTGCAGAGATTGAAATCCTGTCTACTTGCTAGCTCCACTGTCTGGGACAGTTCCCTTTCCTTCTCCGGGCTTCACTTCTCTCTTTGCAAAATGGAGATGTTTGTAGTGTCCAGTTACAGGATTTTGTATGGCTTCACATTATAGCATAAGTATTTTAGCACATGCTTAATATATAAGAAGTGTCCTAGAAATATGTGTAGAGAGCTTGGTTCCACGGCATAAATGAAATCTTTTTTTTTTCCATTGATACGACAAATATGATTGTGGGGAAGTTAAGTGAGTAGTGTTTTCTGTGAATAATTAAACAGGATTATTTTGCAGTTTACTTTTATTTCTGGAGAGTATGACTGGATGTTAACATTCCTTTGCGAAGTTGGTTCTGCTACTGCACAGAACCTGTATATTTTGAGAATTTTGAAGGGTTTTGCTAGGTTACTTTGCCTTGATACAGTGTATACTTAAATGTTATAAAACATTTCAGATGTTATTTCAGCAGAAATTTTCCCTAGACCAAGGAGGCATCTGGAAGATCAGATATGGTAAGGAGAACAATGTTTCTCATCTGGTGTTTGGTTAGGCCCTGGGGATCACCTGTCCATTGCTCCCCAACTTCCCACCACAAGGCAGACCTGTTAAGTGTTTATCTTTCAGAAGGAGAGTTGACTTAGATTACAGAAGAAAGGTTATAAATCAGTTGATGCAATAGGGAGATTTAGAGAACTTTTTTAAAAGGTTATAATCCACATTTTGAAAATAGTAAAGGGCTAGCTTTTTCTTTTTTGAAATATTTACTTGGTTGATATCCAGTTTGGCTTCCAGCAGTGTTATCCCCTTTCTTTCCTAAAGGAGCCCTCCTTGTATCAAATATAAGGACAAAAGTGTTTCAGAATGCAACTCTACTCATTTGCATTAGAATACATACGATTTCCCTTATAATGGCCTGTGGCTTTGGATAAATAAGACAAGAGCTGACCTAATCTTGGATTTGATGTTCACCTAAGGGAGAACTRCTTTCTGGGAGGTAGAGTTCCCCTGCTCAAAACCTAAACCACATGGCCTCTGCTTGTAAAGCAAATTGATCTAGTTGTTTCTTGGTCTTTGCCCTGCTTGGTTTGCAGATCTCTTGACCCTGAGGGTGAGGATTGCACTGGAGTTGCATCTCCAAGGCCCTGATGACATGACTCCATGTAGGCATGAATGATGCCATCACTGGGGACAGTACTTAACGTGGAATTCCTTTAATTTTCACCTTCAGACAGGTACCACCTTCACCCTGGTCTTACTCCCCATGCAGGGACATGGGTGCTGGTGAGACGGGCCTCCTTCCCACAGTCATACTTCTCTGAAGGCCTCTCTGTTCACATCATAGCAGTGACTTGTCTTCAGGAGTCTAGTGGAGCGCAAGGGAGGAGCTTATCAGGCAAGACCTCCATGGGGTATTCTCTGGCCATGGTCTTTCTCCCCTCAGGTTGTCTGCCGCTCAGAGCCCTGCCTGCTTCACTAGAAGCAGAGGAACCCACAGTGGCCAGGCACAAGGCAAACAGCAGCTCCCCTTTCCTGGCAGGATTAAAATGGAGTGAAGGAAGACCAGCCCTACTTCCTGCAGAGGACACTCAAGAAAGCCGTCAGAACTAA